ATGTTATGTCAATTTCAAAAATGACACCATTACAACACGTTTCAAAATATTTTGATATCTTTGCCAAATTTTCTTAAGCATAGTGTCATTTACGTCTTCCAGATGGCCTAAGATCGACCTCAAAACCTTATAAGACATGATTAAAATGATGTGTAATTTTTCCATAAATCGTCTGAGAAAACATTCAAATGAAAATATAACATTTTCATACATCAAACGTTAACAAGCTACTCGTACATGAAGTTATTTTTAGGAAACATGTCATTATCGTTTTTTTATCTGACTAAAAAGGCTTTTAAGAATAAAAATTATCTTTATTATAAGACTGCCTCGTTGACCGAGTGGTCGCAAGTGCGACGAAAAAATTCTCAGTTATGGTAATAGGCTCACCCCCTATTACATGGGACGTGGAAAGTGTGTGTTACATTGTACAGTGGTATAATGTGCACCTCTGCCTACCCCTTCGGTGATAAAATGCGTGAAGTATGTATGTAATTATCTTTATATGACTTATATAGTTTAGTTAAAAAAAGAACAATGCAAAAACGCCATAATAAGTTTTATGTTCACAATGCCAAAGAAAACACTGCAAAGGAAATGTAAAGAAAATGTAGAGGGCATTATAAAACACTGTGTTTTAACCACATTGTTTAATATGTAGGTATTCCTCTAATTGAATAAAAATATGAAATTATATGGAACAATATAAAATGCACAAAGTAAAGTAGTAATGTGATTACCTGTGTGATGGGTCGCGCGACCACTGGCGCGGGCAGCGCGGGGTGCACGCCGCTTCCCAAAACAGTGCTGTGTGAACCGCTGCTAAACACAATCCTCACCTTCCAGTCCATCCAGCTCTGGAACAAAATATCCATGTTAGAATACATAACACGCCTTTTATCCCCGAAGGGGTAGGCAGAGGTGCAAATTGGGCACTTAATGCCACTGTACAATATAACACCCAGTTTCAATATTTATGTTATAAGTCTCATGTATAGGTGTGAACCTATTGCCGAAACAAACTCAAAGGTCCGTTTCTTTTAAAGTCCAGACAATGTGTAATAAAAGATTATGTGTGAGAACCGTGCAAGTTTATTCTGTACTAGTAGCCTTTTGAGGAAAGAACCACAAGAGCTTGAGAGGATCCGTTCTGACGGCAGTACGCATGTGTCGGTTTACAATCAGCTCAATTAACAGGTGAGCCTGACTGATCCGACGACCAATACCAACCAAAAGAACATTTGGGTGGCTTGCACAAATACTCAAACTGTCATAACATGGGTATGTTTCGTTAGCGCTTAAATAGGCACCAGTACAATATTTGCAATGTGCGAGTCAGGCCTTTGCTCGTGTAATTGAGTTTCGAAACTCTGAATTTCAGTGTTATCGCAAGGAGTTTGGAATAGAGGACGGTGTAAAGCGAATGTACTTAGACGTTCTGTTACAGAGGCGTTAATAATATACTACATTTAATGCTTTAACTTGACTATCCTAGAGACCTTTCCAATTTGACAAAATTATGTTTGTGACGTGACGAAATTGAGTATCTTTTGACCCGACACAGAGCACGTAAAACCCAATTACAAAATGATCAATTTCGATGAAAATATATTTTAATTAAAGAAATTGAATTCTACTACAATAATGGAGAGAATTTATCAATACATAGTATAAAACAAAGTTGCTTTCGCTGTATGTCCGTATGTATGCTTAGATCTTTAAAACTACGCAACGGATTTTGATGCGGTTTTTTTTAATAGATAGAGTGATTCTTAAGGAAGGTTTGTATGTATAATACATGCATATTGCACCCGTGCAAAGCCGGGGCGGGCGCTAGTATGTTATAAAATACGCACATAAAGTTTTTTCAACAATACGTAACTTTCAAATGTTCAAATGAACAGATCCACTAGAATTTAGAGTCCTTTGTTCATATTGGAATCCGATTTCAATTCCAATTCCGATAGCGATAATAAATCTCCCAACCGATTTCGACCATGGTGGCAAGTCTAACTAGGTTATCCCACTACGCAGGAGCGTATGTATTATAGTGCACAAGTGTGTGCGCAAACACAGGTGCAGTGTCAGTTTCCTCACTATCTGAACTTGATGGAACGGCATACCGACGATGGAAGAGAAATCAGGCGCAGGACTAACGGCTTTACGTGCTTTCCCAGGCAAGGGGGTGAAGCACCAGCGCATATCCTGGCTTCAAGTTAATAATGGTAATTTTACCCAGAAAATGCCACTAATGACTTTTTGACCGATGTGGAAATCGAATCCGTATCACGTTGTACAGCAGCAGGTTACCCAGCCACTGCGCCAATCGTGCAATCAAACGATTCCGATAGTTGTACTATGGGGAATAATTTGCCTTTTAGATTATTTTTTTCTCGTCTTTATTTGTTCGAAGGATATTTTGTTGGGTTACAAGAAACTACTTCAACTAACTTAGGTAATTATATTTGAATTAAATTATTTGGAAAACGATTTTGTGTTACTTTTTATAACAATTATGTTTTTTTTTTTCATTTTGCTACATTATGTCGTAAAGTCATAACATCACGCCTTTTATCCCCGATGGGGTAGGCAGAAAAACACATTATACGGCACATAATGCCACACACATGTAACACCCACTTTTCACTATTTATGTTATGAGTACCATGTACCTAATAGAAGGTACATGCTACATACATTATAATAAATCATAACATTAACTATCAAAGGTTAATGCAGTGTAAACTTCCAAACTCACATTAAAATTCCAGTACGCCTTATTTGAAATCCCGTGGTGTTACAAACTTTCTTCTTAAATTGTTGCCAAAACTGTCGAGGTGCATCTTAAGTTCTCATTTCATGAAAATAATTCTTTAAAGTTTTTTCCCAAAACTTAACAAGTCATTACCAAAATGTAAATGCTACCTTTGAACATTATTTATGCTAAAGGCATTCTATTTATAGGTATGTACATAAAGGACCCGAAAATATACTAGACTATTGAATATCAGAACGAAAGCAGTGAACAATATATGATAACCAATAAACATACTGTGTATTCTGATACAAGTGCAGATATTTTTTTTTTGTTTCTGATTTATTCAAAATTAGGAGTCCACCGGAGCATTGTTATGTTTTTCGACATGAAAACATCTAACGACCGTCTACATTGGTTCTTTGACTTTCTTATATTATATTTGTTACTTTTATCAAAAACAATGTTCATTGAAAGTTCAATTGAGAAGAAAATTTAGTTTCATTATACCTACTATATCAAATTATATGACTGTATAAATTTCATTTAGTTAATAATACATA